CTTATTACATTGTCTACTGTCTCGTGAAAGACAACATCATCCCCGGTTGAGAACTACTGTGTCATGTGGAGAAAAGATAAAAGTATACTTTTCCTTTTATAATTCAAACTAGCTGATACGGTTTAACACAAAAGGGAAAATCGATATTTGATATTACGAATACTCATTCACAATTACAGTATGGTGCCATGACCGCTGGAAGGGTGAGGAGAACACAAATTTTGGGCTAGAGATTACTAAGCATTAAATAAACTTGTGTATGAATAACATGCTATGGACTCTTTTCCTCATGCATTTTGTATGCTTTCTAGGGTCTTCTCTTTTCTCTTTCTTCTCTCTCTGTTCTCCTGATGTGAATGTTGCAGATTTTGTCTTTTTCTTTGCACTGCTAACCTGGCTTTGTTTCATGAGCATCCGGTGACTCAGGCAAGTAATGTTCTGTGTGAGGAAGTTAAGTGAGGTAATTTTAGCTGGTTAGTTTAGTAACTGAGGTAAAAACAAGGAGAAAACCTCAGAAAACTGAAGATTATTATTTACTGCCTTTTTCTTCTACAAATGTGAATGACTTCAGCTTACATCTAGGAATCATTTTAACAACTGATTTAAAACTAATGTTGATACCGTAAATATTTTTCCAAGGTTGCTCTGGGAGAGTAGCTTATGTTTTCCTCCTTCTCAGTTGTTGAAGAGTGAAGTATGAGAAAATAGGAACTGAGGCATGCCTAAATGTGAGACACCAAGTTTCCACAACTGTTTTCCTCATGATTGCTGAGGAACTGACTGATTAACAACACAGAATGTTTTAGGTGTATTACAAACAATGGCACAAACTAGAAGCTGAGATAAGCTCCCAAAAGGGAAGGCACAAGGTTTCTTTGAATGGAAAATTCATATTCGAGATGTCTGTATGAAATATGAAAGATGTACTGTTTCCATATTGGAGCAGATTAAGGAAAAACAAAATGAATTCAGTTTATAAAAACTACAAAGAATTTGATAGAAAAAAGACTTTGATTTTAGAAAATATACATATTATCAGCGAATTTTGAAATCAGATATATATATATGTAAATATTTAAAAGGATATTTTATTGTTTGTCCTGCTGCAGTTGTTAACAGAGCTTTTTCCCTTTGAGTGATTTGTGATTGTTTTCTGGTGTTATCAAATCCCATTAAATTGACAGGTATTATAAAGTATGCTCAGTGTCATGGATATAAGATTAATATAAAACATATAACTCACTGAAAACATTGATAGTGCAAACATTTTTACTAAATAATAGTAAAATACCTGCTACTATGTGATAGTGACCAACATTCTTTTTATCTTAGAAAGGATTATTCCTCTGAAGAAGCTTAGAACTCCACAAAAAATTGTGCAAAGTGAGAACATTTTTAAGCTGGAGCAATGAATGTAATTGCAGTTGCCTGTCTAGGGATGCTTTCTAAGGGTAAGACTCTGAACAAGAGGAAATGGTTGAATAACCAGTCAACCAAAGGCCCAGCTTGGATGATCTGACACAGCTGTGCTCCCTCTCTTCTCAGGACTGTGCTAGACACAATGTCCTGCTCTTTGCTGCTGGGATCTTACAGACCCCAGACTGTGAAACTCACTTGGGGCTGGTGAATGCCTTTAAAAAAAAATACTTCCCAATGGGAACGAACTGTGTAAAAATATTTGCAAGGGTTTTGTGTTGAGAGTCTTGTTAGATGACATTCTAATGTTTCTTAAAATATCCAAATAATATTATCTAGTTTTTGATTTTTCCTGAATCCCTCTGTCGTCTTTTGTGGTGTCATTGCCAGCATCATTTTATTTTAATATATTTCATTGATGTAGTCTGTGTACACCCAAGGGCACATTATTGTAAGAGTGGAGTCTCATGAGTTTTCTGAAACTGAATGCATCCTTAGAACAAGCCGTGGGTCAGGTAATAGAAAACAACCAGTACCCAGAAATCTACCAACTATCTTCTAACAAGTGACCAGCTGTCTACGGGGCACACTATTCTGACTTCTGATGGCATTGTTACATTGAAAGCATGACAGTCTGATTCACAAGAAGTTTCTTTGTGTACAGTTATCATGATTTCAAAGCTTGCTTTTATCCCCTGGCCTTTCTATAGCTGGGACCTTCCCTGAGGAAGTCCTACCCTAATTGAAATACTTGAACAGTATGAGTGCTCTTGGGTCACTGGGACACATGAAGAAGGATGGGGTGTTAGAATGTACTGGAGTCATAGGACAGCATGACAAGAAGAACCCAAAATGAGTGAGATGGGAAAATCCCAAAGAAAAATTTTCCTGTCTTCACTTACTTGCTTAGGAGAAACGCTGAGAACAGAGTTCCCATTTCTTTCTGCACCGGTTCACTTGAGATGTTGGTGTGGGTCTTGTGGTTGACTTTGTCACTTGTGCTTGTTGGGGACATCAAATGTAGCTTTTAGTACAAGACATCTTGGTATTAAGGACATAAATAGTTGGGTGTGTAAGAACATTGTGCTCACATGAGTATTTTATCTTAGTGTACTTCCAGATAATGTCTTTTTCAGGACCCATGATTTTAGTCCACCAATAGATCATTATTCACTCACAAAAGGTACAGAGATCAGTCAAAGCAGAAGATTGTACCATTCATGAGAGGTAAAAGGTGAATAGGAACTGCTGTCTTTAGGTAGGAATTTCAACTGAGCAGGAAGTCATGCTGAAAGAAATAGAAACAGAAACATTTCACTAGTTCTCACTTGTGAAGGGCTGAATTAATTCTGTATTGCTTTTCCTTCTTTTAGGATGTCAGCCTAAAACATGCCCTACTGAAGATAGGGCAGTCAGGAACTGTAATGTATCTGAAGTAAGCATTGGCCATGAGCTTGCAAGCTTTTTGCTTCCACTATAGTTCTAGGAAGGTCCGCTTCACAGAAGAGCCTAACCCCAGCAAACTCTAGCAACCTAGAATGCTTCTTTTCTCTGGTATTTGAGAATGGCCCCACCCATCCAAATATAGCCAGGGGCTTGGACCATTGTTACTTACTAAGGCAATTATGAAAATTATTGAATTATCCCTCTGTTTTACACTGGTCTCCTGTGCTGTTCCAGCATAGCTTGGATTTATGGGACACAAAGAAAAAAAATACCATCCACGATGGCAGAATAGTTGCATGGAATGGAGAGTGATGTCATATTTGCAGCCTATTTTATGTGATATTTTATTTTCTTGAACCTCAATTTTCTTTGCCTCCTCAGTTTTGACTTCCATGTGCTTTTTCCCCCTCTATTCAAAGACTTGTAACTCTTATAACCAATAAATTTCTTTTGACCATTGACCCGATCATCTGGTATTCAGCCTAGATCCCACTGTATGAGGGTGTGTCTAGGAAGGACAGTTTGTAACTGGCAGATTTTGGTTTCTATTATCTAGTGATAGCCATGAACAATAACTCAAAACTGTGGCTGAGTTCTCTTTTTATTTTCCACTGTTCCTTGAATCTTTTGTTTTCCATCTGTGCCAATTTATTAATTTATAATGAGGAAGTTAACCATAGTGCTTATTTTGTTAGATTGGTTTATTTTTTTCCTTATAGGTCAATTTGCTTATGCACATGGGAAATAGATGTAGGGAAATCCGTTATTATTTGACTGTATAATGTGAGGAGACTAAAAGTGGAGTAATCTATACGTTTCTGCAGAGGAAAACCTTTGTATCTGGGTGTGTTCTTGTTCTTGGGACTCCTTCTGCTGTCTTGGGTGGAACTAGTCTTACTTCTATTCGTTGGATCTCAGGGTACCCCTTTCCCAGGCACACTGTTTTTGCATGACTAAAACAGGCTTTGGAAGTTCTTCCACCTCCTCAATATCTCCTTGTTCCTCTTTCCTCTTGCTTTTAATAATGCATTTTTAAAAGTTGTACCCTTTTTACTCAACCCCTCATCCTTTATGTATTCTGCAGGACTTTATTATGTCACATTTCATGTATTTTGCTGGATGTTCCTGCCACTGTCTCCATCTCTGTCCTCCCGTCCTCTGTTTTCCTATGGTGGAGGGACTGTGGGTTCACGTAGGAAACTAGGTCGTTGGTGAAAAAAGACAGATACCTTGAAGAATTTATGTATGTTTATCATTTCCTGTTTATAATAAGTGCTATCACCATTACTTTTTAATATTCTTTGCTTCAGCAATGTGACAGGGATGAAGGTACATCAAAGGCTTTTGGATAATCTCAGCTAATTGCTCTCCATGGTAGTGACCCATAAAGATACCACATGTATTATTATTTATGATAAGTGTTTTACAATAATGTTTTTTATTAAAAGTTACAATAAACTACAAAAACCATTTTTTAAAAAAAATATTTACAAAAACTTAGGTGCTTATTTTGCCAAGGGTAGGGAGGGTGGAGAGGAATATTTTATGTTTTTCTTCTAATAAATCTTAGGATTTGCACTCTGTATCATTTTTCTATATTTTTGCTTTATTGATTTTCCTTATTTTTCTGATTTTCTGAGTAAATGAATATGTAAATGAAGAGATCTCAAAAACTCTTGGGCAAAGGAACCCAAAAGGAACTAGATATAGATGATGATATTATTCTTTTTTGCTTATAGTTCTCCAAATCCTACATGTTCATTGACTAAGATGAAGGAGATACAGATAAGTAAAACCACAATGAAAAATTAGCAAGCTATCATTTTAAAGACCACTTTTAAAATTTTTAACTAGATGATTTAACTCCAATTAGCTGTTTACAACGTGTTGCCAAGTAGAACTCCTACTACAACCTGTTTTCATGAACAACACAGACTCATTTGTAAATAGTCATGTAGTGAGTGCCCCCCACACTAAGGATACTGAAAAAGTATCTTTGATTTGGTTTTATAGTTTCCTTGCAATGTAGCTTATCTGATTTACTTAGTTTCTTGCTCTTTAAAGTATGAGAGTGGATTAGGAACATGAATATCACCAAGAAGCTCGATATAAACGCAGAATCTTGGGGTCTCTTACAGAACTACTGAACCAGAAACTGCATTTTAACAGGATAGCTAGATGATTTCTATGTTCTTTAAAGTCTGAGAAACATTGACTTAGAAGATCTTTCATCCTGATTACCATGAACTCAATTTTCAGGTAAGTAAATTTGAAATGAATCAGCTTTTATTAAATTTCACTCTTCTTTATATATTACATTTCATTGTTTTAATGTTTTCACATTTTTATTATTTGCTATCTTTTTCAAAGGCCTGTGTCATCCATTTGAGAGAAAAAAAAACATGTCTTTAAAGTTGAAGTCATACTTACATCCTCTTTCAATTTATTTAATGAGGCTAGACTTGATCCATAGGATTCAGTATGAGGAAGATTTTGACATCTTGACATTTATCCTTCTCCAGAGAATTGTATTTTTTTTTCTAACCACTGCATAGTTTTCTCCAGTTCTCAGCAGAAAGTTATGTATCATGTTTTTATCTTTTGAATTAAGAAACTTCCAACAGACCCAGAGAAATCGCTTAATATATGTTCAATGAATAATATTTGGATTCTATTTGATGACAGAAATTTCTTTGTAAGGACAGTCTCAGAGTTCAATTTCAGCTTTTGGCTCAAAAAGCTGCAAGTTTATAAAGTAGCAGGAAAAACATCAAACACTTTGCTTATCATCGTGTGTACCTTACATATCATATATCTACTTAGTCTTCTCTCTGTGTTCCAAACAGATTTAAATAATCTGAATATGCATAAGCCAACAACTGTAAGGCAAAATAAAAATTCTGTGAGTCACATTTGTCTGGCAGCCCTTTAAGAAGACAATTTATTGATAAATCTGTGAATTTATATTTTTTTATTGCAGCTCTAAAGATTGAACCCAGTGGCTTTCACATGCTAAGCAAGCACTACAGATGAGCCACCTCCCTGGCCCTTTCCTTAAAAAGTCTTTTTACTGAAAAGTTCTACACCACTGTAGTTTTATGAGTGGTATCCATAATCTGATTTATCTACAAATATCTCCTGAGGTTTAAGATTACTTCTTTATGTAAGGAAATATTTTTGACATTAACTATTTGCAGATGAATTTCCAACTACAATAAAACTAGAGAACAAGTTCACAGTAGGCAGATGTTTTTGTCGGCTATGTCCTCTAGCACCTAGGACAGTAGTTCACATGCAATGAGAAATACTCATTGAATGAGTCAATGAATGAGCCTAAAAATGTAAAGTCTCTTTAGGATTAATTTAAACAAGATTCATTCCTTAGTGGTAGCATCTTGCTAAAAGTGTCTTTGAACAAAGCAGTTCTCCCAGGAAACAAGATCTATTTAAATTCTTATCTAAACAATGAAATAATAGAACCCAAGGATAACTGTGGTTCTAGACATAGAGGAAAGAATAGCTCTAATAATGCAGATCTTTTGCCTATGGCTCATTTATTATTATTATTTTTTTTAAATCAGTCATGGAGTTACAGCCAAACAGTCTCCCTTTTTTCACTCCTGGATTTGGTCCTGTCATATTGGCTTCCAGTAAATGCTGTCACTCAGAGAGATTTCCTTTCTGTCTCCTACCTGTCACCTGCCTGGCCCTGAGGAGACTATTTTATCTCCTAAGTTGATGCCTTTCCCTCTGCATCACTGCCGGTTAGCATGGCTGTTCCTAAATTTATCTGCCCTGTTCATGACCCCCACCTTCTTCCCTCCTTTCTCCTGTGGGGGGGTGTGCTCTGGGCTTCTCTCTGTAGAAAGCAGATAAATAATGATGGAGTCATATTTTCCTTTGGGGAGAAGCTTTTGGGCCAAGTTGATTTGTGTTCTCTCCTATTCCTATTGTGTCCTCCAAAAAGACCCCCATCAGAAAGTAGGGCTTCCCACACTCCCACTGAATCCTACAGGTTTAAAAATCATTGAACAGTATAATATTAAAAGGAAAAGCAACTCAGATGTTTCCACATAACCTTATTACTAAACAGTTTTCTAAGCATAGCATGAGTAACTCCAAATATTTTTGGACTGGTCTAGGATTATTCCTACCATGTCTGGTTTAATTCCTACAAGGAAATACATTATATCCAGAAAGATGATTAATAAAGAAACTTTTCTAAGTTCATAAATTGGGAACTATAACATGTAGATATTGAGAACTACAATATGCAGAAAAGCATATATTCTAAAATTATAAAAGTTTTGGAATCAACTAGACTCAAATATATTGATTTCCTGTGCTATTATACAACAATCAGTTACTCATCTCATCATTAGTAAAAACAAATTATAGATATTCTTTCAGGTAAAGGATACATTCTTAAGCAAAGTGAGTGTAATACTAACATGCTGGACTGATGGAGAGATGTAGACCTGCACCCAGAATCTGGATTCTGTCACTTCCAAGTTGTATGATATCAACAAACTACCTCTAGGTCTTTCAACTTTGTCATCTGCAACAATAGGTGTAGTTATATATTTACATCATAGATTTTTTTACAAGGATTCATTAAAATAATGCAGGTAAAACGTTAAGTATAGATTGTTAAACATTTAGTTCTACCACTTTGAATAGTCTTTTACGCATATCAATACTTTGCAGATTTAGCTGTTTAAAAATTCAGTTGACTTTGAAAGAATCAAAAAATCAACAGGTATACAGAAGAGGGAGAGTTTTATATCACGTGCTCTTGAAACCATGCTGTGAAGGATAACTGTTTAGTTAGAGAGAGCCGAGTCCATGGTAACACCCACATCTTACTTTTCCACCTTTTGCAGTTTGTGCCGAGTGCAAGTGACAGAGATGGAAAGAAGGTGACATCACTAGAAAATGCAAAGATACCACAAGCCCAAACCTCATCATCTTTCCAAGTCTCTTGGTCAAATTTGTTCCTCTTGAGTGAAAATGCTGCTAATATCATCCTTATTTTGCAAGTAAAATTCAAGTTATGTCATCCGTAGCTGAGACTACACTACACCAGTGGTGGTATAAACACAAGTGCTTCTGAATGTGTAGTTATGGAGGATGAGTCCGTGAAAATGGCGCAGAGAGTCAAGTTACTAACATAGTTGGCTGTAACCTAGGCAAACATTGCTGTTAGAGTCAGGGCTAGAATAATGGGTACAATGGCAAGGAGGAATCCTTGCCTAAGTTCTTTTTCTTCCTCCAACTCTCCTTTTCCTAAGTTCTTTTTCTTCCTCCAACTCTGCAGTCCCCCTCTAACATTCAAGGCAACAAAGCAGGATCTCTAGGGTTCTAGTCTTAGCATCACCAAGAAGATAGAAGGTGGGTTTGATGCTGAGACACTATAGGATAACCGGTAGTGAAACAGCTTAGATAGTGGTAGACAGGGTAGAGGGATCATTTCAGAATTCCTAAGATCTGGCTGTCTTTCCTAGGCAAATGGGGCAGGCACAGTGACAACCTTCTGGGCAAGCATGAACCACAGTGGTCCAGAGAGCGTCTTGGAGGCATGCCTTTGGCACTTGATGCTCCGGCTGCCAGATTGTTAAGTGCTGGGCTAACGCTACTGAAATGTTTGCAGCAGTGTCTGAACGACTCAGAAACAGGCAGGACTGACCAATAAGCAAGGTTTGGCCATCACTGCTATGGCAGCAGAGGAACAAAGATAGGGGAGGGGTGGGAATTCATGCTGGTGCTAATGATATTTCAGAGACTGAAGCCATACTCACTGGAAGACAGGGAGACTTGTTCTAGTTTGATACAGGAGAAGATGGGGGTGAAATTAGTATTGTATATCTTGACTCTGAAAACCAGCTCTTGGGATAGTATTATATCATCATGGAAAATGCCATTCATTTAAATCTCTCCAGACTCTTGGAAAGCAGAGTCTATGGTGAGAAGTATGGTCCCAGGGCAAGTTAGTACCTTAATCGCTAAAGCTGGCATTCATCCACAGTCAGACATTCACTCCTCCCTTCCAGTGCTGCCCTCTACTATTCACACCAGAGGCAGCGTCACCCATGGAACTCGATTTAGAGCGATGGGGCTCAGTGTTCTCCAGACCAATGAGATGAGACTATTAGAATATGGGGCAGGAGGATGAGTATTTTTAAATGTTCCTCATGCTATTTTAGTGTCAGTCATGGTTATAAACCATGGGCTATGAGAATTCCACGCATCAATTAGTCTAGTTTTATCTTTGGGTTTACTGCAAATTTTAAGCATGTCGTGGGTCACTGGTGTTATGTTGGTTGCTGGACATATAATAATCAGATAAGATTAAAATCTCATGATTCAGTAGCAGAGATAAAGGTGTGAATACATGGATATATGATTTAACCTGCTAAGAATTGTATTATGAACCAATAGGCAATGACAGAGGGGGCACAATCAGTTCCACATGGCTGTATCAAAGAAGGAGAGATAGGAAAACTTCACACAGCAAATGAGAACATGCAACTAAGCGCAGATTGGATTGCGTTGACTTTTAAAGAGTGAATAGGATTTACCGGAGAGGATTAAGCATGAAAGAACATATGTTCAATCATGAGAGTTTGTATCATTAGAAAAATGTTTGCATTGTAGGAGAGGCAAGAGGTGAGACAGAGAAGAAAAGTGAGAACCCCACAGTAAAAGGTTTTAAATTCAACATCAGTTGAATATCCATGAGAATTCTAGTACATTCGATGTTCTGAAGGTACAAAAATGAATATAAATGACCACTTATTTTCCAGAAGCCCTCAGTTATATAGATGAGTCAGATGCAAAGTGGTAGATGTATTTTCGGCCAAGAACTATAAGAGGAAAAACAACAGACGCTTGGTTGGTTATTTATTTATTTACTTATTTATTCATTTATTTGAGATGGTATGACTGTGCAGGTCAGGCTGGCCTTGAACTTACTTTGCCTCCCAGGCTGGCCTAGAAATCACAGCAATCCTCCTGTCTCAGTCTCCTTGGGTGATGGGATTATAGGCGTGCACTACCATGCCTGGTGTGCTTTGGAGATTTTAGGGAATAATGATAACCTAGCACTTCTGGGTATGGAATAGCAACTGGTCTCTAAAGGAAGGCTGAAATTAGATTGGAAAAGACTCACACTCTAGAATTTTGAACTTTATACTACAGTTAACAAAAAGCTATGAGGATTTTAAAGTGAGAATATATTTTATGTGTGACTTTCAATTGCT